ATTTAAATAAATATTTTAACTTATCATCTATGATTTGTATTTAATGTATATAATAATTTAATAATATAAGTGTTTCTAACTATCTAAGTGTTTCGGACTATCTTAATATTTTTTCTATATATAATAGTAATGTAATAAAAATTTTCAGAATTTTCATTTTAGAAAATATTATAATATTTTCAAAGCAATAATTATCAAATAAAATAAAACATATACAGTTCAATATGCCATTTTTTTATTTTTATTGTTAAGAAATTCTGTGGTAAATAATTCAATATGTTTTAATTTTTTTTAGAATAATTTTAATTTAAAACAAACTAAACATATATGTGTATTAGTATCTTTGAAGATATTTCAAACATAAATTAAATGGGAGAAATATTTTTTTTATAAATATCATTTTTTTTATTTTTCTTTTAAAGTTTTATTTTTTCATATTTGTTTATAAATATAATTTTTTCTATCATATTATATAGTTAATATTATAATACATTTATTGATAATATAATCTTAGATTCTAAAATTTTAAAATCAGTTTGGAATTTATATTGAAATTTCATTTTTTAATAATAGAAGCGAACTTGAAAATGTAAATAAATATTTATTTATTTTAATAAATATTCAATATAATATCTTTGTACTTCAAGACATTTTTTGAAGCATATGATTGCTTTTTCAATGATTTCAGATTTAATGCATATGTTGCAATTATTCGTTTATTTGATATTTTAAATATTTCTTTATAATCTTTTAATGTTCTTTGCAAAATACAAGATTAGGCAAACGAGTCGATCATAAATTCATTACATTTAATCTATTGATTTAAAAATTATTCGTTAAGATTCTGTATTATGTAAAATGTGTAAATGTGTTACTCATTGCATTGATACCAAAATTTTAAATAATTATTTGATGATACATTTTTTAATAAATTTTAGTTTGTCTTCTAAAAATTCAACATATATCGAGTTTTCATATCAATAATTAATAAATTGGACTTAAATTTTATATCAATTATATAATGCATCAAACATTTATAGTTGATAGTTTCTTTCTATTAATTTATTTAAATCTAACCAATTATTTTTTTAATAATTAATAACTTTGAAATTAATCAAGATTTGTGAAGAATAATTCAATATTTTTGTAAAAAACATTTCATTATTTTCATATTGTTGTATCTTATTAACAGAAAATATAACAATTTTGAAAGTTGATATGATAAAAGACTTTTATGATGAACGAATAAATAGAAAGAATAAAATTTTTATATATAAAGCATCCAAAATATGCTTATTTTATTATAACATCAGTTTCACATTCAAATTATCTTATACCAATATGTGAATTTTTTTTTGGATTTCAGAGAATTATATTTCTCTGATTTATTAAATATTATTATATTTTATGTTTTTTTTTTCATTGACATTATTAGTTTTCGCAAAATATTTTAATAAAATTACATACCGGATGCAATTACGTTCTAGAAATTTTTCTTTATAAATTCCTTTATTATATTTCTTTTTTTCTATATTTCAGATTTTTTCAGATATTATCGAGTATATGAAAAATGAAAATCATCTCAATTTTTTTTTTTTTTTTTTTTTGCTTTGAAAAACACATTGTGAATCATTTGTCAGTATAGACAAAGACATAATAAGAAGCAAGTATTTAAATATCTGTCCAATTAAAGATCTCTTAAATTGTTGTTGAAATCTGTTGAAACCTGTTGTTGAAACTTGTAATCTCGTTTAACATAAGTATCAAATTGATTTTGAAAATTTTAGAGTCTAAAATCATTTTAAAGTCATTATCATATATAAATAAATGTATTGCAATATTATTAATTACAATATATGATAGAAAAAATTAATTTTAATATATAAAAAAATATGATGATGACTATAAAAAAAATGACATTTGTAAAAAAAAATATTTCTTTCATCTAATTTACTTTCTTAAAATCATAAATTGTTTCGGAAATGATTCTCATACTGCTACATTACAAAAAATATTATAAATATATAATGTATTTTATTTAAAATATTTTATATATAATATAAACTTTAAAATGTTTATTATATTATTCAATATATTTTTCACGAAAATTTAAAAAATTTTTAATAAAATAAAAATATATTTTAAATTATTTTTATTATTTTTACTTATTATTTTAAACTACAATCAAACAATTATTTTTAATAGAAATTTTAATATTAGAGATAATCAATTCAAATATTAATAAAATTAATAATTTTCATAGAATAAAATATATAATGAGAAATATATAATATATAATATATAATATATAATATATATAATAAAATATATAATAACGAGAATTAAAAAATGAAGTTAAATTGTTGCTCGTCAGCCAAATACTAATTAATTTCTTAGAAATTAGCAGGCTACTAAATATAAATGAAGTCACAAAAGATTGAATTATTATTAAATTTATTCTAAATTAGATGATAGAGAGACTAAAAACTGTGAATAGTTAAAAAAATTGTATTTTTATTGAATATTGCTTTTTGTAGTATAAACGCTAGAATTTAAAATCAAATGTGTAGAAAATCAAAATATAATATTGTTTATATAAAAATTAATAATATAAACAATTAAGAATGTGGAAAATTAAAAATATAGAAATACAAAGAATATTTTTCTTTGCTATATTTTAAAATATTTTTAAGATTATTTGAGAAATTTCACAAAAAAAATTTTAAAGAATGTAGAAATTAAAATTAGAATTCTATATTCAATAAATTTAACAATCAATTCCAATTTGATATTAATCGATGTTAGCTAAATATTTCTTATTAAAGATTATTATTTCACTTATTAAAAAAAAGATATTAGTTTGGAAATATTTTATCTTTCATTTTGTGAAATTCAATACATCTTTCATCTTTATATTGAATTTTATTTTCCTTTCATAAGAAAAACATAAATATAAATATAAGAAAATTACTTCAAATCCTTCTTATTCTTATTTCATATGTTAAATTTCATAAATTTATTATTAAAATATCTCCAAAACTAATAATTTTTTATAGAAATGAATCAAAACTTGATTTTTAAATTTATGAATCTGAGATTTCAAAATCTTTTAAAATTCATGAAGTTTAAAGTATTTAAAATTCAAAATATTTTTTTTATTATCCCTCCTTTTTCTTTTTTTTTTAAAGAATAAGTAAATATTTATTTTCAAATATTAAAATCTTAACAAATTTCATATCAATAATACTTTGAATGTCAAAAATTCGTAATAAAATTGGCAACTAATAATTTATTTTCTAAAAAATTTTTCATTTTTATATTTCATTGAACTATTTGAATGAATTAATAAAATCATAATAATTGAAATAAATTTAAAATTAAGTCTAAAATGAATATAACATTTTATATGATTATTTTTGTAAATTTTTGTAAAATTTATATAATTTATATTTATTTTAATTTTAAGAGTAATTTAAATCACGGAAATAATAAGAAATTTTAAAATCTGAAAACTTAAAATTTCTTAAATTTCGAAGTTTCGAATCTCCCATTTCTATTTTTTTATAATAAATATGTAAAAATGTATAATCAGAGAAAAGATAATAATAATGAAAAAATATTTAAAGAATGCGCAAATCATCGACACAACGGAATGTGGTTAGTTCTAAAAATTTTTTTATCTTGCACAAAACTGTTATTAAATATTATAAAAAAGCTGTATTTAATATTAAACGAAAAATCTTACAATTTCAAAAGTGGATTAATACTATCTTGTAAAATATGATTAATTATATTGACATATTAAAAAATATATTTTTATATAATAAAAATAATTAAATGGTACTTTCATTTCATCATTCATATTGATATTGTTTGATAATTCTACAGATATTATTAAAAGTTTCCATGTTATTTTGCGTCAGGTTTGTTAACAATTGACTACCCAATGAAAAGATACTTAAATAATTTCAAAATGCACATGGTTTTACAGAATTTTTTTAAGTTAAGTTTTTTAAGTTTTATAATAATTTCTTAAAAAATGAGATTTTGGATAATTTTATGATTTCAAATATTGTTATCAAATGAATTTTATAAAATCATTTTAATTTTAATTCTTAGGATATAAATAATATAAATTAAATAATATATAATATAAAATATTATTAAATTAAATAAAATTATCTGACTGATTCATCTTTTGAATTCCTTGATTAATATTCAGAAATTAGGATAGGTTTCGATCGAATCAATGATTAGCTATTTAAAATAAGATATTATTCAAAGAATAAAATCGATATAACAAAAAAAAGAAAAAAAGAAGATTTAATAAAATAAAAAAAAAGAATAATATTCTTAAAATTGTTAAAAAATGAATTTGTATATTTTCGATTGAATACGAATAAATTATTGATTATTTTAAAAATTATTTTAGATATTTGCAAAAGTAAATAATAAACCTAAAATATATTTTTTTGTTTGTCAAATTTTTATCTTAATTGTGTAGTAATCAGATACTTATATAAATAAATTTTCAAAATTTTTTTCCTGTTATTTATTTTTTTTAATTAAACAAACAATTATAAACATATGTTATCATTGTTACTATAATATTTGAAACAATAATGTATTTTCAATCCATTAATATTTTTTTATTATTTTTATTAAAGTAAAATTTATTAATTATTTTAGTTATCAAAGTTTACAAAATAATCATATTTTTCATATAAAATAAATATTATTCGTATTTAAGAGAATATTATAAAAACTTGTTTTTCTTAAAATATCAATAATGAAAGTTATACTATTATTATTTTAAACTATTCATATAATAAATAATATTATAATATTATTTTTATTGGAGCGTTCTAATTTTAATAGATTCTATGTTATCTTTTTTTCTATACATATTTTAAATATTAAAGAATTTATGATAATTTGAAATATTTTTTAAGAAAGAATACATTGATTGAAAAAAAATATATATTAATAAATTTACTTACTATTTTGCCGAATCGTTGAGTTGATACTCGTTGCTCCTGCCAAAACATTGTTGGACTCCGCTATCAGCCCAGAGTCTATTCATTGCAGCCAAAAGTTCCTCACTAAATGGCTCCGTATCTTCCATTCTTTGGATTACATCAAACACCATTTTTGCGTCTGGCTAGAAAATGATTTTCAAATTAATTAATTTTGAATTAATTTATTTTTATTTGAACTAATTTATTATATCAAATTGATATAATGATAAAAAATTTTATTCATTAAGTTATATTCATAACTTTATTTGAATATTTCCTTAAATCAGAGATAATTGAAAAATAGATGGCATGAAAAAAATATGTAAATTGACAATGTAAATTTATTAAAGAAAATTAGTCAAAAATGATCATCTTTTTATTTTGTGGCGACATTATGCATTTATATGTTATATTCAATTTTAAATTATCAAGCATAAATTTGTTCAATATAGAAATAAAATTGTTGATTTTTTTAAAAGTATTATCATTAATAGTTAATTTTTTTCTTATCTATATATTTTTTTTTTCTCATCTATGTCATCAAGCATGATAATAAATTGAATTTCAAAAATTTCTAGTTTCTTAAAGGTATTGTTATTAAATAATAACTAATTTTTTCATGTAATTTTTTTATGTATACTATATCTAAATAGATATTTATTAAAAAATAATGACATAAATTATATAGTATCTTTTATTTAATATTATATTTAATTTATTTATTGATTAACTTTTCCATTTATGTATTAAATTTATAAACATAATAAATGAAATATTTCTTTCATAATTATTTTTTTTTAAATTTTATTTCGATTTTGAATATGCACTTATTGTGTTTGAAAAAATTCTTCTTTTGAATATTTTTCCATACTTTTTTACTTCAAATATGTTATATAAAAAATTCTATCAATGCAAATAAAATATGAAGTATAATAAATTTAATACAGAAAGAAAGTTCAATAAAATCAATTACAAAATGTTTTAATAGCTAAATTATACTTGTTAATATTAATTTAAATACTAATGCTTAAGCAAAAAATGAAGTTTTTTTAAATTTATTTGATAAAAAAGAATTTCCTTTTATGTTATTTTTTCTTTATATTATAGAGATAAATTTAAATAATCAATATATATAAATCATAAAAAATATAATTAGAAAACTGAAATCTTTTAAATGTTTTAAGCGGATTTAAATTTTCTTATAATTATTGCTTAGAAATAAAAAATTCATTAAGTCAATTTATTGAAACGCATTTTAAGCGCTTGTGTAAATAACAGATAAAAAAATCTGCAATAAAAATAACTCTTTTTTGTAAATTAATATTATAAAATTTTATATCGAAAAAGAATAGAATATTTTAAATACTATATTTAAATACAACAGAATATTTTAATAATTGAAGTAACGATTTCTACAATAATAATAAAACAAACAATAAAAATAATAGAATAAATTAGTCATATAGAGTTAATAATAATATTATTATATTCTTAACAACAACAACAACAACAACAACAATAATAATAAAATTTTAATTAAAATAATTCATTTTTTTCGAAATAAAGAAAAACTAAAAAAAAGAAAGAATAATAAATTTTTCTAATCAAAATAATAAAATAAAAAAAATAAAAAAGATAAAATTTTAATAACTATATAACTTAATTAATACGCAAAAGTATTATTTAAATTAGATTGAAACATTAAAATAAATTTGTACATTAGTAATTACACTTTTTTGCCAAATATTTAAACAAATGAATTCTAATTAAACTGCTTGAGATGTAACAAAATAAGAAAATAAAAATTAATAAAATTATATTTATTGATAAAATTTAAGAGATAAATTAATCACTGGCGAATTTCATATATTTATATTTTATTTTTATTTTTTTGAAATCAATATTTTTTTATTTTTTGAATTAAATTTAAGAATAACATAATAGTGCATATATCAATAAGCAATACAAGTTTTTCCAAATATATTTGCATAAAAATTATATCATAAATGCATGTCAATTGATTCTATTAATCAAAAAACTCAATAGATTCTTAAATGTTCTGATTAAATTCAATTTCTGATTAAATGTTCATGATTTTTTGTTTGATTAATTCTATTTGATAAAAAAAATAGCTTTCAAATTGGCATTTAACATAATTTTACAAATATTCAATTAAATTCAAGTTTAGGAAACTGAACTTAGCTATTTAATTATAATTCATATTTTGCTATAATAATATATATACATTCGCTTTGAGCGAACTAATGATGATTGGTTTTAAACGTTTGTTGTTGACTAATGACTGACTGAATTTTATTTCTGATTTCTAACTGTGTTCTGATTTGTATTGTATCTGAATCTAACTCGATTTAATTTGAATTGCTAAATTGTAATTATCTGATCTTAAAAAAGTATTATAAATTTTGATTTTTAAAAGTTAAAAAAAATAATTGCATTGGAAGGCAGTTTGCAAGGATAAACTTTCACAAGATTGCGTCGCAATGCATGGAGATCAGGATTTTTTGCAACTTTATAACTTCTATGATGGTCCGTTGCAAGCATTGCGTATTTGGAGCACAAATGTGGTTTATAAAGTGATTATCATTGTTATATTTTGTTATTGATATTTAGAAAATGTATATTCATTCATAAATTATTACTAAAACCTAAACTGTTGAAAATAAAATTCAAACTGTTTAATTGCTTCATAAATCAGTCCTAGTTTTTAGTTTTATCCTTAATAAAAAATAATTATTTTATAGATGGATGCATAAAAATCATATGAGTAACATATATTTCTTTAAATGAAATTATATAGTCTTTAATATTGTGCAATTCGTTATTTCTTAGTAAAATGTACATTAAACATTTCTTAATTGGTAAATTGTAAAATTAATAAATTGATATTATTTGAATATAAGTTGAATTAAATAACTTAGTTGAATTGTCTATAAATATAGCTTAAGGAATAATATAGAAGAAAATTAAATTATTAAAAATTATTTAAAATTTTATTATTTATCTTTATTAAAAAAGAAACATTTTAAAATCATGCTTAAATAAATAAAAGAAATTTATACTTAATTTTTTTATGGAAAAATATTAAATATTAATATGAGAATTTGATGTTTTTTCAAAATAATTTCAATTATATCGATGTAACATTAAAAATTAAAGAAAAAACAATTATAAATTAACAATTAAACTATATATAAATAAATTTTAATTGTACTATTTATTACAGAAAAAATATTTTAAATAAAATTTATTCTGTTTCGAAAATGAAGTTCAGAGTATTTATTATGATTAATTTCTTTGAATATAAACTCATAAAAAAATATATAAAGATCATCTTTTTAATGAAATCATAATATTTTAAATTATTAATCAATGTTACTCTAAATAAGAAAAAAATATTATATTATACTGTTATATAGATCATATAGTGAAAAATAATTACATATTTTAATTTCATAAAATTTATTAAAGATATGAAAAAATCTAAAAACCATACTTTTTTGTCCTTTTTTTTTTTAGTTTATAAAGAGATTTTGCAAAATTAAAATATATTTAAAATTAATAATTTTTTCTTAAATGATTTAATAATTTTTTTATATAGAATAACAATTTATACTATTAATTTATTATGAAATACATGATTATAAAATTAAAAAAATAATTTTGACTTTTATATATTTTATGTTCATTTAAAAAAATTAATAGACTATGTCTCTTTCTATACTATGCAACCATAAAACTTTTGTTTGAAACATTTTTATAACAAATAATTTATAAGTTATTTAAAATAGTTAGATTATATGATTTAACCAATAATTTTATTTTAAAAAATCATTCACATTCAAATTCGATAATTCACCTTCGCAGAAATTAATAATATCAAAATATTACTTCGAAATATTATAAACTTTATTTGAAATATTTTTTTTATAATGTGGAAAATGATTAAATTTATATGTAAAATAGGTTACTTTATATATTTAATATATTCTTCTTTAATTTAATTAATTTATATAAATAATATAAAATAAATATTAAATAAAATAAAATAAATATTAAAAATATTTAAATAAATAAAATTATTTATGATTAATAATATTTTTCATTTATAAATAAAAAAAAATATTGCAAATATTGATTATAAATTTTTTTAATTTCAGTTTATTGCATTAACAATTTGTACATGTTATTAACAATTAGACCAAAACTATAATTTATTACATTACTTATATATATACATATATATATATTAGGTATGTTTTAAATAATATAAAAAATTTTAAACTGATTCTTTATTTTTCAAAGTATTTTTCAAGATGAATCTTATATTGTCTTATATTTATGAATCTTATATTTATGATCGTGAATTTTATTTTTTACAATGAATGATAATGTACTCCATTCTTAATTACACTTTATATAATTTTAAAATTTAGAGATATTGATTGAATAAGTAACTGAGATAGCGAGATCTCATTCGTGTGACCTAATCATAATAATAATTCTTGAAATTACGACTTAATCTTGCCTTTATAGATTAATTTATAGATTTTCTTGAAAAATCGTGATTAAAATAAAGCCATTTATTTTTTATTTTAATTTTCTTTAATTTTCTCTTTTGAATGAAGTAATATAACTAGAAGCAAATATTATAAGGATTTGGAAATAAAATATTGGTTACTTTTTTAATTGTTTTAATTGCTTTTTGCAATCTCTATAATATCAACATGAAATTATTATAACAATTATGTATCCAAAGTCGTTTATTCTTCGTTTTAAATCTTTTGTGTGTGTGTGTGTGTGTGTGTGTGTGTTTACATGATTTGTAAATGTTTTTTTTAATTCAGGATACAATTTTGAATATAGTTGAATCAATTTTCTTTTAAGTTTACTTATATGATATGATATTGATTTCAATTTGGATTGAATAAATCACGGAGGAATGCTATATATTGATTTGATCGTGAATTGGATATTCATATCGTTTTTGTTTAATAATTACTTTGTAATAAAAGAGAAGGGGAGTTTTTTTTTTTTTGAATAGAAGTTTGGAGTTCAGAAATACACAATTAAGTAATAAATACTTATGTGATATTTTATATTGATAGATATTTACAAATAATTA